ACGCGCAAATTTTCGCAAAACAGTAGTCAATCGAAAAAATCGACATGAGTTGTAAGCAATTTTTGGAGTGCCATTCCAGTGCATAAGTTCCATTCCAGTGCATCAAGGAACGTCATATAAATCTTCTAAATATCGAAATCGTATCTGTTATTCGTATCTACCCTTTCGTCATGACTCGGTTATCCCGAGCTACTGGAAAAAGTATTTAAGGCTACTCACTTCATTTTTTATTGTACATTTGATATAGAATCAGTATGTTTCCTTCGACGTCAGGAGATATTTGAAAGAGCTCAACGCCGCGTTCGACTATCCAACACTAAGCGTCAGATGTCTGCAGAAATGTCATGGGCAAGTGATATCAGGAATGGGATTACTACATTCCCCAAGAAATCAGCCGAACCAAACTCCGACCGACTCATCCGAGTCTGCTGAGTCATAAAAAAACGCTGATTGATGAAAAATCCCTAGCAAACCCTGACTCCTCGACTCCAAATGTTCGACATGTAATTATCGATGATGGAGAAGATAGCGCCATGCAGATGGTGTAATGGACTATACTTAGCCATTACATGAAGGGACATTAATGTTCCTTCTGTATGCATTGCGGGAATTAAAGTAGATTACAGTATTATCCTCCCAAATGCATACGTGGTTGCATTTATGAAGTCATAAACATTTTGTGTGTAATAGAATGCTAGTCCTTACTTGGGATTTGTACTGGTGACGAGACCGACGTGTCTCTGTCTTCAAAAGTGTGTGGCGTAAGCCAGTACTGGATACTTTCCACGGAAGTTGACTTTCGAGCTTTCGAAGTCTAAGCTCCTTACACCCGAGATCTTGTATGAATTTAATCTGAGGCTTGCTTTATATATCAGGAATCCAAGGTTTTACCAGTAAAACCTCTAGGAGTCCTTGGGGTGATTTGCATGTAGCTAACACCATAACTCATTCTTAATTCAGTTGCAAACTCACCTTAAATAGCTTAGCTTGATCTTATTCCCTCCAAGTCGGGACTATCCTTCTCCCTCCATGTCGTGGGTGGTTCCTCATCTCACAAACGTGTGTGTTGTATTTGAGAGACTGTTTGCGAACAGTGCCCGCTTTAACCTGAGTACTTCGAGCGGTCGTTTCAACGGCACTCGATTTTAGTTTGACGACGCGACTGATGAGTACGTCACGCATTCCAGTCCAAGCCATATTCTAGTCATTGTGCGAGCGATATGGAAGGGGTTAAAGTACCACCCGGTTCGTCAGTACCGCAAACTGAGGTGTTGACAAATGAGATATTCTTGTAATTGTCTTCGCATGAGTGGATGGCATTTGAGCGGATGCGAGAAGTCATTGGATAAGCTGCAGTAGTCAGTTTACTACATTTGTCTTCTCCGGATGAACAGAAGAGCGCAGCCGTCAGTTTCATGCATCATGAGATTATGGAATCTTGGAAGCAGGCCGCAACCCCTGTTTCTTCGAACAGAACGATGCCATTGAAATTGAGCGTGTCTTTGCAACGTGGTGGAGAAAACGAGCTTCTCTCACGATGGTTTCTAGAGCTGGATGCAGACAACTATGATACACCCTTGAAGCAAGTATGGTTCGCTATGTCCAGCTTTGCGGATCGTGCAAAGTGTTGGGCGTATGGTAAGCGTTAAGCCAATCTAAAGTGCTTTCTCAGCACCGAACACTTCAAAGTCGAGCTAAAGAAGGCGTTTGAGCTACCACAGAGTGAATCCGTGCCCTTGCCGAGTTCTTAAAGCTTCGTCAAGGTCGATACGACCTACACTCGTATGCACAGCGTGATCGCTACTTGGTTGACGTTTCTACGTTGTAACGTTCATGTTAGGATCTAATGACTGTCTAATCTGGGATCAACAGTTCCGTAAATATCCAAAGACGCGAGACGACCCATCAACCGAGCGATACAAGAAAAGTTCAGCATCAAGCAAGCAAATTTCAAAGGCGTCGTACCAAGGCAACACGCCAGTCGACCGTTACAAGTGATGGTCCAGAGCCAGTGGACATCTCGTACATTTTAAAGCCTGAAATTGAGCGTCCTCGCAGCGATGGAAAGTGTTTTCGTTGTGATAAGTTGGTTTTATTGCCAGAATTGCAAAGTGTCTTTGCTGAGTCGGCAACAGACACACGGTGCTCGTTTGAATAACCGCGGGCGCTATAAAGTCGTCGGTTTGAACGCTTCCATGGGTAAAAAATTGGGAGCGACCAGTAGGGTCGGGGCTCCCTACTGGACCGAGAAAAGAACTGTGGATACACAGAATCCTGACCCCAACGTGCATGATGATCATGCAGTTTCCACTATAAATGATAAAAGTCACGCAAAGTGCGACATTGACA